ACGGGAGGAGGAACGAGAGCGGGAGCTGAAACACGAGGTAGAACGCGATCGATCGCGGGAAATTTTAAGTGCGGCTACTTCAGTCATTAATTCGTCCAAGCGCCGATTCATTCATTTACGTCCATCTACGAATAATTCCTTGAGTCTGGGGATACGCGGGTGACTGTTGGAGCCGACGGGGTATGTGCGCAAATGCTGTCGGCTGCCTCTGCGAGCTCGTTTAGGGTAGCCCTATTCGCGAATACCCTAAGGAAAGTCGCGACGTATTCTGGTAGTGCTTGCATCCAACAAATACGTAGCACGTTTTTGCTTACGTGTAAGCTGGAAGCCAGACTCCTCATATAGCTGAGCAGCTGCGTTGGAGTATGTAGCCCGTTATCCCCTTGACGTATTCCGTTCAATAGCTTTTTGAGACGGTTGTCCTCCGTCATGCTGAAGCGGTTGATGATGGCATCTTTTAATGCGTCATGAGGTCTATCGGGCGGGGATGGAAAACTACGTCCTTTTAGCCAGGACCCATGGAGCGTGGGATATGTCCCACGATTTGTGTGAATTTAGTGGCTTGATTGGTCAACCTGGCCAGCCGGAATTGTACTTCCGCCTGAGCTAACCAAAACTCCGGGTCTTCGGGGATGAAGTCTGGGATTCTAGCCACAATACTACCAACGTGGGGGCTATCCTGCTGCTTTATGTTGACTTCTGCGCTGGCTTGATCGTCGCTTTCTTAAGTTTCGCGTTATGTACGCAAGCGATGATTGAATTAAAGAATTGCACAATGTCTATGTCTCACTCAGTAAAGGTAGTAAAAATGAATCTACGGTTGCAACCGTGATAATCAAAAGGATTGAGCAAGTGGCGTAATGAAACGGTAATAACGAAACTAAAATGCGCGATAACTAACAAAAGTAAAAATATCACGTCGGGCTCACCAATTTAGTCTCTGGGCTAATGATGTCCACCAATTCGTACGTCTAACAACGGACGAGGAAACGAACCAAAGCAGAATGACTGATACCGCGAAACCTCAACGACGGATGTATTATAATGAGCTGGAGAGTAGAGAGAGAAACGTACAGGTAAGTAAGCGTGCAGAAAGTCAACGTACCGTGACCAACGATGCAATCTTGGTCCGGTAAAACATTAAGGTCCGGAAGAAGGAAAAGGTACATGAGCGGAAAGGGTTGATACTGTCACTACAGTTACTAACCACCCGAACAGGGGAACGCTTCCAAATGTGAGTTCTCTCAGCTGAACAAGAAGAAAAGATATTTTTCCTTTGTCTTCCCGTGTAGAAGCGGAGATGACTGGGACGAGAAGAAAACGTGTAGAATCTACACAGGGGGAAATAGAGAGAACTGCGCAGATTACCGACCCGTCAACTTGACTTCGGTGGTATTAAAAACCATGGAGCGAATCATACGGGATAAAATAGTCACACTTAGAAGCAACCAAGATGTTGACCGCACATCAACACGGCTTCATGAGGAGACGATCGTGCCTCACCAACCTGCTGTGTTTCCTTGACGAGGTAACGCATAAGATCGACCGGGGA